ATTATTTATATTGCATTAAATTATTAATTTCAAATAGAAACATTTTTACGTAAAATTAAAATAATTAATAAATACAATTACAATAATATCACATATACATCTAAATTTTAAATAGGTATTATTAATAATCCATTAAATTAAATTTATATAGAAACAAAATAAATAATACATATTAATTGCCACTGTTTTCAGTTGTCGTTTAAGATTGTTTAAAAATATTAAAACCTACGTCAAAAATAATCAAAATTTATAATATAGGTACATTAGTCAATAATAAGGATGTTAATAACACAAAATATAATTAAATTATAATAATATTAAAATAATCATACAGTTATTATAAATTGATTCCCCGAAATTTATAAGAAATTTTTTTTAAGTATTCTATTTTATTTAAGTGTTTTCCTCTGTACTCATTCCACGCTTCATAAGTATGTTGTATTTTTTCTTTTTCTTCTTTACATCGTGATTTTATTTTACCCTTCTTCATTTCATTTATTTTTAGATATGATTCTACTTGTATAAGTTTTAAATTTTCAATTACACTAGTCAATGGAGGATGAAGTGAATAAAATTGGGAGTTAAAGTGCTTGTGAAATGATTCAGCGCAATTTGTGGTGCGAGGTGCGTCTGTTGGAGGTTCAGCCAAAATTGATGGTGGAAATGGACATCCTTTAATGATATAGTTATTAAATACATAATCAGAAAATTCGGATAAATTTGTCAAATTGAAATCTGGAGTTAAGTTTTGTAAATCAAAATAAGCATCTTCCACTTCATTTGACGGTAAAAATGGTAACCCAAAAAATAATGTTAACCATTTAGCGATATCGCATGACTGATTCTTGTACAATTTTTTAAGATCTGACAAAGAATTTATTTTTCGGTACCAAGATTGACCTAAATGAAATCTACAGCCTCTTATTTTGCTGTCTGGAAATACATTTAGAAATGCTTTGTGTGCTGCGATTTCAAAATCTAAATGGATTGATAATGGTGTAAAATTTTTTTGTAATTTATTTGTACATAAATGGCAAATAAAGTTCCACATAACCCGATAACATTCAAATGATTTTGATGGTAAAAATGCAATAACAAGTGGTATATAAAATCCATTTACATATATATGAATACCATACATTTGATAAAAATGTGATGGTCTATAAGTAAAAGTACCATCACCAAAAATATCAGAATAGTTGAAATCGCATAAAAAATTTAAATTCATTTTACATGTAATCAAAATAATATTATTTACATTATCAACATATGTAAACTCTTCGTTTTTATTTGTTAAAATTACTAAATTAGAAATCTGTTCAATTGCTTCGTTGAGTGATTTAGGAACTGAGGGTAATATTTTTCGACGTTCTCGGTATACTTTCTGATATTATGAACATCAGAATTCTTAGCGGTGCTGCACGTGGAAAGCTCTGTACGTATTATTTTATTAGGTCGTAAAGTTAAATCTTCACACGCTTTTCTTTTACACCTACCTTGAACGTCCAGTAAGTTTAAATTTTCTTCAGTTTCCGGATCATGGGTATGGCTGTCTTTAATTTTGGTTAACTTCGTTTTTGAACTATTGGTTTTGACATACGCACTACAGGTTTTTTTTACACAACGCCAACTTATATCTCCAGAAACAAGGGTTCTACTCACGTGATATTTAAAATAACGAAAAACTAAACAAAGTTTTTGTTTACTTGAATTAGTTATATAAATTTCCATTATAGTAGTACTCACTATTCATGTACTGATGCAACTGACACATATAAAATACAACTGATAAATGCATTTTTATATAATATAATCTTTATCGATTGGGATTTTACAATTTCGATTAGCACGACTAACGACAAAATATTATTATCTTTATCGATTTTGATATTGGTTTCGATTAGATTGGGAAACGATCAAATATTATTTTAGATTTTATAGTTACACGCCAATATACTCAATAAATGGCAACGTTGCACGATTTTCACCTGATCTGAATCGGGCGCATATGGGCTATGATTTGGGGCGCAAATGGGCTACGATAAATGGGTTCGGGCGCAAATGGGTTGCGCCGTATAAAAATACCTCGCACACAAAGAAAATTGTTCGATACCAGAAATATCAGATGTTTCATCTGCTAATATCGAAAAACATTTTGCTTCATTAATTTTATTAACTATTTTTTTTAAAATAATGTCCCCACACGTTGAAATTATTTCATTAGCAATCATTGGACTTGTATAGGAAGCATTTTTAGAACAGGTTTCTAAGTGCGTTTTTAATGATACATCACCACTATTAGCACGAAATCTCAACAATGAACGAAAATTTCCATCATTTTCATTAGGCTCTGTTAAATTCAAGGGTCCACTATCTCTATGACCTCTTAAAGAAAGATTTTGTCTACCACAAAAAATGATTGTTTCAATGATAGGAATAAGATTTTTTCTATTTTCAATTATTTTACGTTTTATTCCCGAATCTATTTGAATATCTATAGGTTCAACTTTTTTTTTTAAAATTTGTTTGGCACATGTTCCTTTTAGAATGCAAGTTTTATGATATTCACAATTTGTATTATTATTAAATACTTCAATACCATCTTTCCAGTTTTTAAATGGTTTCTTTACCAAATTACCAAAAGTTTGTTTTCCAACACCTCCACCCTCTCCAGCAAACAAAACACAATATTTACAGTACGCTCCATCATCTTTTTCAGAATATGCCAACCAATTCCATCGTTTAAACCAACACCGTTGAAATTTTAAATTTCTCTTACCACTACCAGGAAAGATATAACAATCATCTGGTACCCAAATATCTGAAACCGTATTTATACAATGGCTTTTTTTATTGATAATCTCTCCGATATCGGTCGATCTACAAATTATTTCCTTTTGAATTATTTGAACGGGAATCTTATCATTATCATTTTGACTATTATTTGTATTAATCTCGGTATTTTTAAGTCTGGTTGACATTAGTTTTTTTGAATCAGGCAAAAAAAAAGAATTAATTTTTCTAGTCTGCTTATTTGTTAGAGAATTTGCCTATAATAATAAATAATAATAATTAATAATAATAATAAAAATTTAGGGAATCAATAAGATATTATGTATAATATATAATTTAATTTCATATTTCAAAGCAGAATATTTTTCGGAATAAAAATCAAATTTCAGACGAATAGTTTATGAGTTTGGCCGTTTCACATGGGCGTGTATCATACGCGACGCATCGTCCGCGCCCGTTTTTAGTTTACATTAATTAAGTTCATACATGTGAAACGGCCCTTATACCTAACTATTAAAGTTACGAAACTAGGAACTAAACTAGGAACATAAATATAAGTTATTAAAATATTGTCTGTCCAATCATTTAGGTATATTAAAAATTAAATGCTAAAAATAACTTACCATAATGGAATGTTTAGTCGTCTTAAAATCATGTCAAATTAAAATAAAACAAATAAAATAGAATACAAATGTCAAATATAAACGAATAATGATATTAAATTAAGTAAAACAGTGAGACACCAACAGGCAACGACCAACTAATAACTATTAGTTTTACACAATAATGTGCTCGTGTTAAATGATCGGCGAGCCGCGAATGCAATAGGTTAGAAATTAGTTAAAATTTGAACACAGATAATGATATCGCTTTTATCGTTATCATCGGGACCAGACGGCCGATTCAGCGAACCGATTTAGAATCAACCGTTGTAGAAAATCTAAATAATATGTTTCCAAGCAAAAATGATCAAAGTAGTAAATATGATCATAATATAATATTATTATGACTTGTGTGTGTGTGTGTGTGTGTAATACGTTTATAGTCTTTATTCAAACTATTAATATAAATTCCAAGTCAAAATTCTAAAATATAAAAATGTTAAAGAAATAACCGTGTTTTATCAGTTTCATGTAAAAGTTAATTTACCATCTCAGGATCATGGGGGGGGTTCTGACCCCCAAAACCCCCCCCATGGATATGCCACTGGATAGAGGTACCACCACCTTGCATCCTAGCTCCCACCGCGTTCGTCGTTCATCTACCTATGAGAGAGGTACCACCTCCTTGCATCTTAGCGACGACAGCGCTCCATAGCGGTTGCATCTTACGAGTAGTCGCCAAATATTAACATTGCGTTGACTATCTATCTATTCTATAATCAATGATATCGCATACAATTAATAATTATTGCACAGCGGCACAAAAAAAAAAGAACTTTTATTTAAATCAAAATCAATGCATGACAATATACAAAAATATACCAAAGAAAACATACAATGAAAAAAACTCGACATCGGGCTACTCCGCACACGATGGGTCGTTGAGACGAACTAACAACTATCCACCAACACAAACAATATAACAACTACATATTATAACACTATCACACATATCTTATCACCAAACTACCATCACATTATTATTTATTACTACAGTATTGACAATAGCGAACAAAAAACGTCGAACTACTAAGACTGCAATGACACATGACTCAGATAATGAGTTCCATAATACCTAATATAAAAATAGCTAATGACATTTTAATAGGTAACAACATAACAAAACTAGAAACACCAATACCTCATAATTATTTTAATAGATACTTAATTATAATTCTAATGGAAAAAAAAATACACTTCTTCTTCTTTTTTGGTTTTAGCCAATTAAGACCATTTGCAATTTCATAATGTGTAATAATAAAATAAGATAATAATTCATAAGTGGTAAATAGTTAATTAGTTTAATAATAACAATTTTGATTGTTTCGTGGTGTTTAGAAGAAAAAAAGTACTCACAGTTAGAAAAAAAAATTAATTAAATTAAATTTTTTAATTTCTTAAATTCTACTTAGCTCTAGTTTAGTCAATTTTGGGTTTAGGATACTAGTTTATACATCAAAATGGCTTGAAAAAAATCGAAGAACCCGAATATGATTTTCAAATTACGGGTTGCCATTTAAAAAAATGTAAGTTTTATTGCGCATGCGCAAGATACATGAGTTAAAAACATTGTAAGCCATAGAAATTTTCGATCCTTAAGTCTAGTTTAATACGAG